AGCGCTGGAACCCCTGATTCATTGGCAGGACTTACCCTCCTTTACATGGGTATTTTAAAATGCCTCAGTGCCTTGGGAGACAGATCTGAGTTCTGATCCTGGTTTCAACTTTAATCAGTCCTCGGCCAAGTCCTTTTACTAGTACATTTTTGAGCCTCATTTCCTCATCTGTCCAAATTGTCCCTGTGTTATAGGGTAGTTGGGAGGTTTCAACATAATAATGCATGCAAAGTACCTGTCTGAGTGCTTTACACTGAGAAAGTGCTTGGGAAATATTAGCTACTAGAGGCCCGGTGCACGAATTGGTGCACCAGTGGGGTCCTTCAACCTGGCCTGGGGGATCGGGCTGAAACCGGCTCTCTGACATCCCCCGAGGGGTCCTGGATTGTGAGAAGGTGCAGGCCAGGCCGAGGGTACCCCACCAGTGCACGATCAGGGCTGGGGAGGGATACAGGAGGTTGGCCAGCAGTGGGAGGGACCACGGGAGGGCTCCAGGGTGTGCCAGGCCAGCCTTGCTCAGTCCAGATCAGCAGGACCCCAGCAGCAAGCAACCTACCAGTCGGAGCGGCTGCCCCCTAGTGGTCAGTGCACATCATAGCGAGCGGTTGAGCGACCTTAGCACATCATTAGCATATTACGCTTTGATTGGTTGAATGGATGACCAATGACTGGACACTTAACATATCAGGCTTTTATTTTTTTTTTTTTTTTTTTTTTTTTTTTTTTTCAAAATATATTTTATTGATTTTTTACAGAGAAGAAGGAAGAGGGACAGAGAGTTAGAAACATCGATGAGAGAGATCGATCAGCTGCCTCCTGCACGCCCCCCACTGGGGATGTCAGGCTTTTATTATATAGGATTACCACCATCCTCACTGACTTATTAGCGATCACCGCCATCCTCAAGCCCTGTATGTCTGGCACTCCCCGGGAGGAGGGCGCAAAGGTGAGAACAGAGCCTGGGTCCTGCTCTCCAGGGGTTTGACGTTTCACTGGATTTCTGAATTCAGACTCCTCACTCCTGCCACTCTACCATTGGCGTTGGGCCTTGACGGATGGATCAGATTTGAGCACATGGGGATGGAAGGGAGGAGAGGCCTTGTGAATATGAAGCCATGTCCGCAAAGCCTGGGAACTAAGAAAGTGTGGAGCATGTCAACATTGAGAAACGTCCAAACCTGTAGAGAATTTTTATGAGTTTATTTGAGCCAAATTCACAGCATCTGCTGGGGAGCCAGATTTCAAATGCTCTGGAGAATAAGAGTTTTGCAGCTTCTTTTGTGCATGTGAACGTCCGTGGAGGTGAGAGAAAGCAACAGGGGGCTTGGACTTAGATTATAGGATGGTTAGCAAGATTCTGTGCTCTCTTGAGGGTTAATACCCCCTCCCAGGGGTATTACATCTGGTTGAGATTAAAAGTGTGTTTACCTAGATGCCCAACAACAATGGACAGGCCTTGCTTAAAACCTTTCACTAAAGAAGTCACAAGTTTGGGGCATGACTACCCACCATGACCTGCCCAGTTAGAAATTTATGATCAGATCGCCCTGTGAGGTTACTCTCCATAGAACCCCCTTTTTTTCATCCACAGGTATGAATGGAAAACTGCAAGTATTTTATTTTTTGAAATATTTCTTTTACTTATTTTTTAATATATTTTTATTGATTTCAGAGAGGAAGAGAGAGGGACAGAGAGCTAGAAACATCAATGATGAGAATCATTGATTTGTTGCCTTCCCTGACAACACATACCCCCCCCCCCCCCCCCAATTA